TAAATCATTATTTTTAAGTTTATTTATTAATGAAAAACTAGCGTGTCCAAGCCTTTTATGCCATAGCAAAGGATCGTTATCAATAACGCTCAAACAAGTCATACTAATATTAGGCAAAGAATCAAGATCTACTTTATATGTATTTTCGAGCCTCTTGCCTTCAAGTATAACTTGTTGTGATTCGTTATTAACAATGCGACAAATGTTATGATCAAAAACAACACTATTACCTCGATCGCAAAATTGAGAAATACTTAGTAAATTAAATTTCAAACCCTTGACTAAAAATACATTATCGATAGCATGGCTAGGTGACTTTCCAACTTTTCCCACGGCTATGATCTCTCCTTTGCCGTTGTCTCCAAATGTCACCTTTCCACCGTTAAATGGCCGAAGTGAGAGGAACGAAGATTTGTCTCCCGTCATGTGCTTAGAACAACCACTGTCAAGGAACCAGTGATTGTTCCCCCTCACTCGGCGCTGTTCCAGGATTAAGGTTTAGTGCGTGGAACCCAGACCTGCTTGGGTTCCATTTTGTATTTATTTGAGGAAGATCTAACATAATCATAACATCTATCTAGGGTCTCTTGCCGAGAGTAACATTGATACCGAAGATGACCGATTTTGCCACAATGCATGCAAACTCGGTTATCATAAGTATCAACGTATTTGGGTTTCCATTTACCGTGAAAGCCTCTAGTTCTTTTGTAAAAAGTCCGGTTAGGCGTTTGTCCATAACCGTTTTTGTGCCTCTGAACCAGTCTATCGAACCAGTTTGGTCCAGTTCTAGGTGGCTGTTGATATAGTCTAGAACTGGGTTGTCCTTGGGTTCTTTTATCCTTAAAGGGTTGGTTCTGAAAATTTGATTCTTGATTAGATCGGATATCCTTTGGAACATATCCGAGACCTGCAGTCTCGTTTACTTTCTTATTGTGCTGAGAAGGACCAGTTCCAGAATGATGTCTAGACCTGGTTTTGTTCGTTGCACTATAGGATTGATATTCCGGTCTATTTTTAAAATCAGTGCACTCGGCAACTAGACGATGAAGATGATCAATTAAACAACCAACACTCGGTATTTTTGAGAGAAGCTTTTCATCATGATCAACTTGTTTGTTCATACTATCGAGCTTAAGAGAACAAATAATTTGATCTTGTTCTAGAACCACTTCACTGTACTTAAGCCTTTCATCTACTAACTCTCCCACTTTTGTTTCAAGCCTTATTTTGGCTCTCGTGGCTTCCTCGAGTTTAGACTCAAGCTCAGTGATACGTGATTTAAGATGATCATTTTCGGAAAGACTCTCATTAAACTCAATAGTCAATCTTTTGAAAATTTTCCGAGTTTTGGTTTTGGATAGAGAGTCAAACTTGGATAGGAAGTTTTCAAAGTTTACCTCAAAGCTTTCTTGGTCGGATTCCTCGTCGGAGAGAGCCATAAGACATAGACCCGCATGATTGGAGTTCTTGTCATTTTCTTCTTCTTCATCATCGGATGAGTCTCCCCATGCGGCCATCATTGCCTTCTTGAGATCTCTGTTGAAGCTTTTGTCTTCACTGAACCTCCGGTTGGAACTGGACTTGTTCTTGTCGTAGGTTTTCTCATTTTTCTTTTGTGGGCAGTCCTTAGCCCTGTGCTCAAAGGAACCACAAACAAAACAACCTTGGTTATTAAAGGATTGAGTATTCCTTTTACCTTGTTTGGTACGGTTGTTCTTGAATTTCCGGTACATCCTCCCAAATTGTTTTGCAAACATGCTCATCTCGTCATCCGATTCACTTTCAGATTCTTCTTCTTCCTCTCGAGCCTTTAGAGCTATTCCTCTTTCTCGTCTAGCATTCTCGGCATCTTGTTCTTCTTGAAGACCCAGTTCATATGTTAAGAGTGATCCGGTTAAGTCTTCAAGCGTCATGGTGGATAGATCTTTTGCTTCTTCAATGGCCGTGGTCTTAGGCTTCCATACCGGGGGCAGGCTTCTCAAGATCTTTCTTACTTGATCTTCTACAGTAATCTCTCTTCCAAGGGCTGAAAGCTCATTGATGATATTAGTAAAACGTGTAATCATATCCTTAATTGACTCTTTTGGCTTCATTACGAATAATTCGTAATTACGCATGAATATGTCAATCTTAGATTTTTTTACACGTGAGGTTCCCTCATGAGTGACCTCGAGCAAATCCCACATTTGTTTTGCAGTCTTGCATCCTAGAACCCGATTGTGTTCGGCAGGACCAAGACCACAAATTAAATATTTAAGAGCTTGGGCATTATGCTCGAGTTTCTCATAATCTTCAGAAGTATATTCAGTTTTAGGTTTAGGAACAATATTACCTTCGGCGTTTCTCTTTGTGATGGCATTATCACCACTTTCTATTACATTCCAAACCTGATAGTTATCGGCCTTGATAAAGTTCTCCATCCGACTCTTCCAAAATTGATAGTATTTGCCATTGAACAATGGTGGTCGTTGAGTTGAGTACCCTTCTTCCAATCGGTCAACCGTATTCATTTTGCCGGATCTCTTCCCAAGGTATTAGCCTCTATGTGGTGAAGACCGGCTCTGATACCACTTGTTGGATCGATTCACCCCTGTCGACAAACTTCCCAGTGGGTCACCCATCCTTGGGCTTTCTTACCCCGGGCTCGCTTAACTCCAGAGTTCTGTGGTTAAATAGCAGCCATATCTTTCTTAAAACCAATTGGTGATAAGGAAGTGGACACCCTCTATTTAACCCATTACTCCGTAGTCCCCAAGTCAAGGTAGATTCCTGTGGGGCACCCCCCACAGTTCACTACGGCAGTGCAGAGCCCCACTACTGAGCGGTGGATGGACATGAGGGGCTGCACCACTTTGTGGTGCCAACAGGTTGGGCGGTTAAGCCCTGAATCAAAGGGTGGTGCTGATCTCCCATAAGACCAACAATCACCCCCCCAGCACCAGCCGAGAGATTCACCTGTGACCTCGCTCTGATACCACTTGTTGGATCGATTCACCCCTTGTCGACAAACTTCCCAGTGGGTCACCCATCCCTGGGCTTTCTTACCCCGGGCTCGCTTAACTCCAGAGTTCTGTGGTTAAATAGCAGCCATATCTTTCTTAAAACCAATTGGTGATAAGGAAGTGGACACCCTCTATTTAACTCATTACTCTGTAGTCCCCAAGTCAAGGTAGATTCCTGTGGGGCACCCCCCACAGTTCACTACGGCAGTGCAGAGCCCCACTACTGAGCGGTGGATGGACATGAGGGGCTGCACCACTTTGTGGTGCCAACAGGTTGGGCGGTTAAGCCCTGAATCAAAGGGTGGTGCTGATCTCCCATAAGACCAACAGGTGAACGGACAAATTTCATGCGCCCAACTCTTATAATCGAGAACGTAACCAGGGAACATTGGAATAACCAAAACTACAGTGATATAGTACTCTCCCGTTCTGGAAAAATTCTTTTCGGTTTAACTTGGATCGGAGTTTAAGAAATGGGAAATAAAGTGGAAATGTATGATTATAGTTGAGTAAGAAAAATGTAAATGAATGATAGTTACACAAATATTTCCAAAAAAGAAAATGAGAATTTTTTTTGGGACGGACGTAGTAGTATATGTCTACGTACCCTTATACATTAATCCAGATGGACACGCATTATTGAAGCAACTTTTCAAAAAGAGAATAGAACAAGGTAATGAAGCAATTCAAAGATTCTTATCTAGAAGGCTTTGGACTCGAATTTCATAGACTTGGTTTTATAGACAACTAATTTTCAGGAAACATAATTTAGTTTGTACGAAAAGTAATAAGTTATTAAACTATATAATTAAGTCAATATCGATATTCACATAATGTGAGCTGTTATAATAGTTTTACGTAGGGTCAAGGAGAATTTATTCATTAAAAAAGTAATATTTTGCACATTTTTTATCAACATTTTCATGTTTATAGAACTACGTATAGTAGTACCGCCATTTTTTATTAACATTATTGTATACATTCATACCAATTACGGAGTATAGCATATCAATATTGAAATACGGAGTATTCTTTAAATTTGGAACATTCAATTCCCATTTGATAACATTTAAATTGCTGAATCGAGAGATTCTTCTTAAATCTATGATTTATGGAGTTTTGTTTTTTTAACTCGAGGGGGTCTAGGGGGAGCGGGGTTGGAGTAATCAGGACTGAAACTCACTTCCATTGAGTTTCGAACCCTTATGTGCCTAGCGGGTTTCGAACTCGATACCTCTCACTAGGCACGATAACATCACAAGTAACTGGACTGGAATGGTTGGTTATGATTTCTGAAGTTCTAATTGAAGTGACTTGATTAGATGATTTGGTTGAATTATGGTTTTTATTATTATTTGATAATATAAAAAATATATGAAAATAGTTAAAATGGTCTTCTCTAGTAACTTTATCTAATTCAACCGTAAAAGTAATTCAACTTTATTTATTCTGATTATTACACAATCACTATGTGAAAGTAAAAGTTACTTATTTGATGAAAAAATGATTTTAAGATTAATAAATCGAAAAACAGGGTGATAAAACCGGCTTTGAATATATTGAAATGATATACATAGTATGATTTTTCAACATTCAATCAACACTCTAATACTTCCCTGTCCCGAAAAGGTTGGCCAAAGTTGACTTTTGTGTGAGGAGAGGGAATTAATTTTAGCCACATATTCCTTACTTTAAATGAAAATGACAAATATTTTTGGGACATCCAAAAAAGGAAATTCGGCCAATCTTTTCGGGACGGAAGGAGTATTCCATAAAAAAATGCACTCCCAACTTGACACTGATAATTAAATGAATACTCCGTACTTATATTTTCATGGAAGTCGCAGCATAAAGTCCACTGCATAGCATTAATGGCCGGTGGCAGCTTGAGGGGACAGCTTATACGGACTGGTCGCTTAACTGCACCTCATCCGATCCATGAACTCATTATCTTCTCCATCCAATATTCTACACATATATACATTCAACTGAACATACCTTCAGAAGAAATAACAAACGGCCTTAAGCACTTATATGCATGATGATGGCCACTTGTGGAGTTGAAAAACTACCCACCATTCTGTACATTCTTGCCCTTGGATCACTCATGGTTGCGTATCTGGTCATTTGCTACCTTATTCTCGACCATATCGGTGAAAGCGATGATGAGGAACCGCCCTTTGCAGCTGAAAGATTTTCGGGATTATCGTATGAAGAGCTGCAAGAAATAGGCTGTTTCTATTATGGAGCAAGGGAAGAAGAAACCCCACCATTATCATCAATAATATGGTGTGCTATTTGCCTGGATAGTCTCAAGGAAGCAGAGCTGTGCAAAAGTTTCCCGGCAGGTTGCAGCCATGTCTTTCATGCCCATTGCATTGACCCTTGGCTCTTAAAAACACGCACTTGCCCTACCTGCCGGTCTCCATATATCTATATTTCCACAACCAATAAGTTTCTGCCTTGAATAATTAATTTAAGTTCATAATTTATGTATGAACTATGAAGTATGTATAGATATGGCTGGCCATCTGATCTACCTAGCTTGAACTAATATAGTGTTTAAGAGTTTGTAAAGAGTTTTAAACTTTAAAATAGTGTCCAGTCTATTTTCAGGCCTATGTGCGGGATAATATTTTGGGCTTATATTCAAGACAAATAATAAATTATATTTATCTAAAATAATAATTATAATAAAATTATCTAATAAAGGTCGTTAAATAAAAACGAAACTCATTTTATTATTATTATTATTATTATTATTTAAATTACATATTTGATGAAAAGTAACAACACAAGTATCACATAAAAAGAATAACATTTATTTTGTAATTATATTGGGAGTTTTGGACTTTGGAGGCCTAACATAACTTTGTAATTTTGTAATTAAAAGGATCATAAAACTTAGAGATCCGAAGAAACCAAGAGAGATGTGCAACTTTACATTTATTTTAAAAATTAAACCTTGAGACAATTAATTGATCTTAAAAATTAAAAAAAAAAAACTACTCACACTACATACAAAGAAATATTTTTGGCCTTATTTTTTACCCCTATTTTCTTGGGCATAGGGCGGTCGCCCTTGATGCGCCCCCCTAGGGCCGCCCCTGAGTTTCCATAGATACGACACACATACATGTATAAAGTATGGTAGTACCGGTGGGCGTAGCTCAACTGGTAGCGAGGGAGTGCCACAAGGGTTAGGTCTCGGGTTCGAATCCCGGCAACTGCGATAAGGGGTTACTATGCTGAAAAATGCATAGGGCTTCTGCAAGTACAGGGGACAGAGCCACACTCTCTATCTGTCAGATTGTGATTATAGTCCAATTTACATCCTCTCATCGTGCCATCCGGTCGGTGTTGGGGGCAGGGGCGGAGCCAGGACACTAGGCCGGACTGGGCCGGTACAAAGAATATTTTTGGAAAAAAATTCACGCGGAAGTTTTTACACTAAAAATATAGAGATTTTTAAAATTTGGGCTGGGCCAGGGACAGAGGTAGCCACCCCCTAGCTCCGCCCCTGGTTGGGGGGGCCCTCAGGGATGGGGTGTCATCCTTTTTTTTTTGTATAAAGTATGGTAGTGCGTGAAAGTACTAGATAGTAGCTAGATACTTGGTAACATTTTGGTGATGGCTATGGTATACTCCGTATTAAAAATGATAGAGGGCAACCACATCTATCAAGGATTTGATTGATCACTATTCTGTCATTCAATTATGTTTAAATGATGGGGAAAATAATTAAAATACTTCAAACTTTGTAAGAATGTAAGGTAAGCACCTCCAAACTTGCATATGCAATACAAGTACCCCAAACTTTATATAAAAACTTATTTTAATTCCATGGTCATATATTATTTCTTTCAAAAATGTCAATTTTTGGTGTTAATTTCATAATTTAAAATATTTTAGCATTCATGAAGATAACAATTAACAATCTAAACTTTCATTTTAAAATAAATAATACTACCACCACTCTATATAATTGCAGTATTTTTAATTTGCTATTTTAAATTATGCAATTAAAAACTTTTTATATAAAGTTTGGATATTTAAATTACACATGAAAGTTTGGGATGTTTATTTAATACTCTTTCAAAGTTTGGGGTATTTTAATTATTTTTCCCTTAAATTATTCAATTGCAATATCTAAATGTTTCATGTGATAACGTATGATACCTTGAGGGTACCATAAAATTTGTCTTACTTTTATGTATGAAGTATATAAATGTGGATATTTGTCTAAATCATGTAACCTTTACATGTAATTCCAGTTATTAATATTTGTCCAATAATCTTTCTGATTACAATTAATAAGTTTCTCCATAGCGTAGTACTCCGTATTATTTAAAGACTTATACACCGGAATATACAATTTCTAATAAAAAGCGCTTTCAAAAGTGATCTTGATTTGGAACACAATTTCTTGCTAAAAAGGTAAATTTTGCTGATAAAATCCTTAACATGGACAAAAATTTTAGTCATATGATGAGATCTTCAAATGAATAATGCTATGAAATCACTCATGGATAACCATAAAAGCTACGGAGTATATATGAGACTAAATAATTTCTCAATAAAAATGTTAAAGTATTCATGTGATTCCATCAATAAGAGATTTTTCTTACAAATCCCATAACTAGTTATTAAGGAGGCGACGACCAGGGTGGAGCCAGGGCACAGGGCCAATATAAAAAGATTTTTTTTTTAAAAGTAACAAGAACCTTTTTATCTTGAAATTCTAGACATTTTTTAAATTTGGGGTGAGTCAGAGTATAGGATGGCCCTCCTCTAACTCCGCCCCTGGAGACGACTTACACCAATTGAGATCTAAGGGATGGAAAACATGGAGACATCAACAAACTCCCTTGAATCCCACTTTGGAAAAAAAAGAAAGACCCCAAAGGTCGACATAAAGTAACAATGAAAAGTTTTTGTCTCTTCATCATCCATAGAAAAATCGTCTGAAAGTACCTTTAAGTGTACAAGTTTCCCCATGAGAACATATGGGCCTTCCATTAGAACTTTGGTTCTATCTTTTTCGTTTTGGAATTTGAATATGACCCAACCCCTATCATGTGACTTCACAAGACATGGGACACCCCATTTTTGGGTAAAGTTGTGGATGTTTTTCAATCCGGGAAATCTGCCCTCAAAGTAGGTAACAAGGCAATGTCCCCAAAGTACACTCATAGGAGTCATCTTTCGGTTTGAAAGGTCAATGATGTCTCCTTTCGGTTCAATGTATCTTAGTTTCATGCCCTTGTCCGGTTCCCTATTGTCTTTAAAGAGTGAGACAAAGGATTTAGTAGGCACGGTTTTATTCCACACATTGGGAATTGGAGGAATAGGTACCTTGACCAAAGACTGGTTAACTGCCGCGACAATGGAATTGTCAGATGATGCAAGGACACCATTTCCTTGTGGAACTGCCGCGACAATGGAATGGTCAATGACAATCTCATTCGCATTTGTTATTGGAAAATTGGCCTCGGCCATTTCCTTTTCCAGAACTTCCTCAACCATAGGGTCAACAACATAAGCAGTTTCCTCCTCAAGAATTGGTATATCATTGTCTTCAAGTATGGGTTCAATGTTAAAATCAACAAAAGGTACAAGAGGTTCCTCCATTTCCTCAGTATGTTCAACAATTGGTACATCAATTGTTTGGTTTTCAGTGATAGGAGAGGAAGTTACCTCAACCTTAAAATCAACTAGATCAAGAATGTTATCTAGCTCATGATTAGCCATACCACCTAAGAAGATGTTTGATTTATCATAGTTGACCCTAAGGCCAGATATGTCACCAAACTCTTCTAAAGTGTCAATGAGAATCTTGATTGACGGAGCATCCCCTCTAGAGAACAACATGATATCTTGGCAAGATTTGATGGGGTGCCGAGCGCTATACACTGTTTAGAAAGCTTCCAATCCGGGGGGAAACTTGTTTCTTCTAAGGTGTACAATCTACTTAGAACTAAAGCCTCTAAACATGTGTGGATGTCCTTCATTTGGAAAAATTATATCCCTCCAAAGTTTTCCTTTACAACTTGGTTAGCTTTCCGAAATAGGTTGGCTACATGTGATAATCTTCATAGATTAGATGTAGTTAACACTTGTGTTTTTTGTAAGGGTGGACCGGAGACGGTTCCACACCTCTACTTTGAATGTTCATTTTCAGGTAAAATTTGGAAGATGGTGAAGGACTGGATGCAAATGCCGCGGCATATGGGGACATTGTCAAGCTCGGTAAAATGGATCCTAAAGGAGAGGCGTGGAGCTGGAATTAAAGCTAAAGCTTCCCGGATTGCTTTGTGCTACACTATCTATTGGATTTGGAGAGTCCGTAATGCCGCTATTTTTGATGGTCTTTTGCCCAAGGAAGATGATATTTTTGCTAAAATTAAGTACATTGTGTACAAAGTGTTGTATAGCATCTATCCTCATGTATTGGTGACCTTTTGACAAACTGTTTTGCTTGGTTTGTTTTTGCGGCCAAATGTTTGGGTGCAAGCTTGTGCTTTGTGCTTGATTGCCTAGATTAGATAGCCTTTGCTTGGAGGTGATGGGTTATCCAAGCTATGGATAACTTACATTTTTGCCCACCTTTTTGTTTGTACAGTTAAACTCTTTGGATGGTTCCTTTTATATACTTACAGTTCATCCAAAAAAGAAAAGTTTTTGTCACTTTTAGTACGTCCTCAAACTATTATGTCATTGACATTTTTGGTATCCGACTTTAATTTTTTGCATTTTTAGTCCTTAACTATTGCGCTATAGACACTTTTGGTACCCGTCTTTGAAAATTTCCATATTTAGTCCTTCAATTTATAAAAGTGACACTGTACTTTTAGTCCTTCAACTATTATAATAATGACATTTTTAGTTCTTTGCTTATTGTGTCAAAATCATAATGGGAGAACTAAAAGTGTCACTTTGACAATACTCAGGGGACCAAATGTGGAAGACCTTGAAGTCGGGGACTAAATGTGTCTCTAGCACAATAGTCGAGGACTAAAAATGGAAAAGTTAAAAGTCAAGTACCAAAAGTGTCACTGACATAATAATCGGGGGACCGAAAAGGGCAATAACTCTATCAAGGAATGCAAGAAGATACAAGACTGAGTCCCCAAGCAACCTCGGCATTCACAAACAACGATGCACCCAGAACTATACTCTCCCCAAGTCAAACAACATGGAGTTTTATTAACATAAGGTCTGAGGAAGCGGTCCAGTCTAGCTAGATGCCGACTCACTCTCCCTTACAGGAGGTCTCGGTTCGAAACTCAATGGAGTGAGTTTCAGTCCTCATTACTCCAGGGCCCCCCAGACCCCCTCCCCCAGACACCCCCTGGACTAAAAAAAAAACCAAAGTCCCACCAATTCACTCTCAAAAGATCTCCCTAATAAGTATGTATGGAGGAGAGATAGTGAAAGTCTACTTCATTAAGATGATGACTTCGTCACACTTCATCAAGTGAGGGATATATATATATATATATATATATATATATATATATATATATATTCATGGATAAAATTATCAAGGTGTGACCGACGCTTCTTAAGTTTCGGGCATAGTAGGCCAGCAAAGCTCAAGCCTCATCTCAGTACCTCAGTGAAGACCAAACCTATGTCTATTAAAGACTCAGAATAATTTTTTCATCAATGTCT